CGAGCTTCAGAATGAAAACTGAAGATTTTAGCGAGAAAAAAAACCTACCAAACAGAAGAGTGCAACGGATAAATAAGGGGCTTGTGCATTTAAATAGAAAGCTAACGGTTTAACGGGCCAAGGATCGGAAAGGACGCTAGCGAAGGGAACTGGGAGGATAGGTAGTAGAGCATGCCGGCAGGGGTAGGTCATTTTTGGCAAAATGTTTCCCTCAACGGGGGGATGATGCCTAACACAGTGCCTCGTCGAGTACGCGCGCTAGCTGATTGTATGAACACAAGTGCATCGCGTCTGTGCCAGTGGGGGAAGCTTCGTACTTTCTGGAGGATATTGTGCCACGCAAGGTAGATGATCATTATCTATAATCGTTTCTATATTGGAGGCGGCCCCGAAAAATGGCATTTGTGGCGAGGCTGCAGTAAAGTACGCCACGCTCAGGGAGAAGACGTGATGCGAGTACAAGGCGGCAAGTACCAAAGATGTTCCTTGTTAGCAGGACGCAGGATCCTGCTCAATGAACACCGCTTCGTGTATAATACAAGCCATCTCCAATCGCAGCCTGGACTGGAGAAGGCCTTTGGAATGTCACCTCCAAACAGCTGCGAAACTTCTTGTATGGAGTCACCCATGGACAGCTACCTGGAGACCAGCACTCTTGATCTGGAAGACCTCCAACATCGAGCAGCTCCGACAACGTCGCTACGGTTTAGGATATCACCCCTTCGCCGCCTAACTGAGGTGAAAGGTGATATCTCGGACCGTAGCAACGGGTTGCGCGGGTTTATGGTATGGACCGGAAGTTCCTGGAATGGGAAGATATTTTCTTCGTGGACCCCGGACTGAAAGTGCGCTGACGGTTACATCGAACAGCTCGAGGAGAATATCCTGCCTTCATGTCGTCGCCTGTACCATCTTGGAAACTTCGTACTGCTACAGGATTGGGTGACACCACATGGAATCAAAGGGCGTTGGGAAAAAACGCTACTTGGAGTGGAAGGGCGTTGTACCTGAAGAAGAGAGTGTGTCACCTGACCTGAATCGCTCGATTACCCGGTTTGGGTGGAGCTCAACAGGGTGGTCTACAGTGGCGGAGAAATCAACGACCTCGCTGAACTCAGGCACCGAATCACGGTCGCGTGGCAGAATCTCTCGATGGCGTTCGTCCAGAAGGCTGTGGCGGAGTTTCGTGATCGTGTACAATGTGTTGTTGGATTTGATGGTGAAAATGTCCAAGCAGAAGGTTATAAGGGTGTAACTCAGTTCGCCAACGTCGAGGAGAAAAGTGTCTTTTTTTGCCCCCCCCCCATAGTCGACGATGAACCACTCATTATGAAGATGCTCCAAAAATGCACATTACTACCTGTTCTTTACCCATTGTGCGTGACACTCCTGATTCTGCCCACTCCGCGCGATAATCACGGTAGCCAATCGATACAAACCCTTGCCTATCTCATATCTATCTCATATCATCTGTTTCCTTAATGCCAAAGCTTTCAGGAAGGTACTCGTCAGCGCAAGAACCCGCTACAGGAAGCGAGTGTATTTTTCCTATTGTTCCATGATGCATGAATATCTCAAAAGAGGCCCGCAAAAGTGAAGTTCCTGAAAGTTCTTCTTCTATGCCCACGATTAGCTTACTTTTGGAATATCGTGGTGGAGTAGTGAGTAATGTGTTACCGCGATGATTGCCTTGCCTGGGACTGACCAAGGGCAGCGCAACCCACCTCGACCAATTGATCGATTAAACAACTGGTGACAACAGGGTACGCTAAGCCAACTCCAGCTCCCGAAACCCCACACTGCAAGTAAACGTATTGTATAAGAGAACGCCTGCGTTGTGAAAATTCCTGCAAAATACGTCCCCCACCTAGTTCCATCCTCTGAGACACCCCCCTCCCCCCTACCTACCACTTTCCTAGATTTTCCCAACTCCTATCCCTTTTTCCAGGTTTTCCGGCATTTCTCCGAGAAATTTCTACTTTTTCCCCAGAAATTTGCCCTCGAGCGGGGCATCCTTCCTCCTAACAATCCTTCCTTCCAATCCTCTCTCCCAACAACGACCAAATACGACCCCCCCCCTTTATAGCGTCCGTGAAACAAGAGAAATCAACTATCAAAAAAATTTTCTCAGACCAAATACGACCCCCCCCCCTCCCTCGCGGTCAAATACGGACCCCCGTTGTGATTATCACAACGATGGCGTGCCCTGCCGTGGGGACGCCCACTTTGTGGAGGTAAGCTACATAGTAAGTGACGTCACGTGCGCGACATTCACACCAGGACCTAGTTGATTTTATATAGAGGTGCTACAGTAGGTCGAGCGACCTAACTAGTTCTGCGTGCATCGCTTCAGTGCGAATCTCCCAACCGACACTCCAAGTAATCGTTTTCCACACTTTGAATCCTTCGCCACTGCATTTAATACTCCAATACTGATACTTCAATGACCCAGGACAGGATGTAATTTTAGAAAGTACTAAGCATTTTATGATGAACAGAGGCGGATGGTTGCTTGGCCCAATAGGAGACCAATTCCCAAATCATTTCTCGCGGGCCCAAATCGTCTAGCATCTAGCAGATAGTTGTTCAATGAGTAGCAGGTTCGTCTGCAACAATAATACCCTTCCTGGCGCAGTTTGTCGACGAGGGGGCATTCTGCTTTCCATAGATGTGCCGACCCATCTAGGTAGCCTTTTCTCGAGTTGACACGTTTTAGGATGGTGGCTAGACGATCTTGCTCCAGCTTCACAAGCGTTCACAAGTTTTACCAGAGTGAGATTTGTAAACCGGAACCAGGGAAGCAATGGTAGTACAAAATGCCCCCCGTCGACAAACAGCGCCCCTTGCCTGAATAAGTCAATGGAGGAACACCGCGTCGATGGCACTTGAACACGGGTTTCGCGTTGTCCCGACAGGTATGCTGTCCAATACACCCACCAGAGCCACGTGCTACCGTGACTTAAAGTCACATTCCTCAACTGTCAGATTTGCGGAGAATTCAGACGATGTGCCTTCTTTGTTGATGCACCTCTCCTCCTAACGTGGTAAACGAGCGGGGTAAAATTGCTACGGTCCCGCCCATCATTTATGTTGGGATGCGTCTTCACTCATGCTCAGGCGAATACTCCACAGCTCCCCACTCTTCTACACATCACGAAGACTCCAGAATTAATTTGTAGACCGAATACAATGGTGCTCAGATGACGGCTCACGATTTGAGTGTGTAGACCAAATAGGTAACAAAATGCCGTCTCGATTCATGATCGCGTTAGAGCGCTGCGTGTTCCAAGGGGAAGGGGCTTCCGTCGCGCCAAAGGTGTCACCTCTTAATTGGTATTCTGTGAACATAGTGAATAGTTACTTTTCTAAGGACTATACTGCTAGTGGCCAACCTTCGCTTAGATTCTTTCACGGGGGTTTGAGATTATTTCTGATTATTAGCTGTCTATTCGAGAAAAACTGTACACTCATCTCCAAAGACGGCCCTTGCCATAACGTGCTGTCAATTGTACAAGCCGTTCGTTCATACGCTTCTCGCTCTGAAAGCGCGCAGCAGATGAAGGCTACAAGGTAGTGAATGACCGCGAGTGCTGTTCGTGACTTCATCCGCGCTATCCCACTGGGTCAGCACTCGCTGAGTTTCCGCAAGCGAAATTTGGAGGTAGAGGAACAACCAGAAGTGAGAGGGTTAAGTATTAGATTGTTCGGAAAGAAATGCGTGTTGAAGCGCGTTGAATTTGTCCATTTATTTCTCTCCTACTATAGAAAAATTTCCGAAACAGTTTCTGCGCTATTACGAAAGAGATTTTTATTGTGCACTTCTGATATATTTTGTCTATGTATATTTGTTTTTTTTTGAGAAAAAAGTTGGGAAGGAGTGGTGACGCACCACTGAGACGCAACAAAGGCACACGAGTGGCAATGGCCGGAATTCTTCTTCGTCGCTCCAAGAACAGCGGTCTTCTTCGACTCTGTTAGTTACATCAGATGAGGCATGGATCTACTACGACACGCAACGCGAAAGACGTGGTTATGAACTCCAGTGACCTCCAAACGGCTCGAAACCTGATATAACGCGGCAAAAAAGGTGATGTCCGATCTGTGGAATAGCAAAGGTTTGATGTACTTTGAAGTTCCGGAATCGGGTCAGACGGTTACGGCGGACATCTGCAAACACCAATTGAACCGCATGGATCCAGCACTGCGTCTTCAAAGTGTCGAAACGACGTCGACAAAATTTATCCACGACAACGCTCATCCACATGTGGCGAAAATCACTCTAGAAAAAAAAATTGAGGAATTGGGCTGGAAAGTCCTGCCTCATCCGCCACACAGATCAGACCTGGCACCATCCGATTACCATCTGTTCCGGTCGATGCAGCACTCCCTGGCCGAGAGAAAGTTCACAAACCGCGAAGAAGTCCAACTCTGGGTGTCCAACTACTTTGAGTCGCAGCCGGCCGAGTTCTTCGAAAGAGGAATCCATTCTTTGCATAAACGTTGGCAACAAGTCATTGATAATAAGGAGATTACCTCTTTGAATTGATGATTAATTTCGTTTCTTATAATCCAAAAGTTTTTTTAAATCAAAACGAGCGCAATTCCTTTCGAACAAACCTAATAACGTAGCTGCCTTGCCTGTAGCGCGGCGCGAATCGGGAGACATCCATCGGGGTATAACTGACGACCGTCAACCTGCTGCGTAATCGTACAGTTTTGCGCGGTGGAAGTAGTTCACGGTATCTGCTGCCCGCTGCTGACCCTTACCTTTGAAGAAGAGGGTGCTTTTTGCCATTCAGAATTAATAAATCCTTATTATATTGAGCAGAAAGGAAAGAACTGGAGACAATACGTGAGAAGCAAGAGAAAGCATTCCAAAGGCTCCAGCAAAAGAACAACGTCACAACCATAGTGATAGACAGTGGGCCACCAGTGCCCCCAACGGGCGCTTGTCGTGCCTGCACCAGTGCCACTTCCTGTTTCCAAAGCTCCTATATGCAATGGATCTATATTGGTATGTTCAAGATTTCAAGAGTTTAAGCCGTTCTGACCTAGTGGGTCCATGCTTTGGCTTGTGCTTCCATTATTTCAGGCTTGTTTCTTACAGTGTAATATATTTTTTACTCTCAGTTCGGCTTGGTGGGGGTACTACGTAGTACTCAGGTATGGCCTGTACAAGCTATTTTGTAAGAACCCGTGAATTCCTGTAGCTAGTGTGGCTTCTTTACAGGTCTCGCCAAAGTTGAAAACAGACCTGTTTGAAAAACATGATCGTGCAACTGAACCGAATGCCTCGTCTAACTCCCCTCCTAAGCCTAAACTGTCGGCCATTCACGAGTAGATGCCTACAGTGCAAGCGATTTGGTTAATTGTTTTTTGATTTGTGTGCATTCTAGACAAATCCACCACAAGAAACGTCAACGGCGGAAGCAACACCGACCCTACTTGGTAAAAAGAAAAACAGCTCCTGCGCTGAAGCGACGCCAGCTAAACGCGAAAGGTATTCTTCACATATACTCTACCTTAACTTTCGTACAAGATTCTATTTCAGGCAAACGCCGACTAGCGAGGATGCTGAAGCGATGCCACTACACTTATCCGACAGGCGTCCATGCGCAGAGGAAAAAGAATGCCGCGCGTGTAAAGTCAGCGTTGAGGTTGGTCCACCTTGTTCAAGCTAATGATTGAGCAACCATATGCAGGGAATGGATAGAAATATTGATCAAATCCTCTATACGGGACTGGCCAAGCTGATTGATCTTTTGGATGTAAGCGCCCGCGGTCTTACTCGTTCTACCAATCACGGTCGATTAGTGATTGATCAGGAAAAAAACCTCTAAAAGTGAAAATTCCCGGGTGGGCCCCTTATATGTCTTTTGACACCGCCCCAGCTGATTGCGACGATATCAACTGCCTGCTAGTTGGCCAGCAATTTTCAAACGGCCAAAAGGCAATAATTGGAGGAAAGCGGGTTGATCAGTGGGGGAGGGAGGAGAGGGAAGGGTTTGGCAGGGCGCCAGCCTTTTTCTCTCGACAAGCGATAAGACCATCATATCGTATGTATCAGTCGTTTTCCACCATTTGATGTCGCTACGTCTCTTTGACAACTGGTGGACAATGGGCGGCGGCGCGCCAAACCCCTTTTCACTGACACGCCCCCTCATCCGCAGCGAACAAGACTCAACATTTTCCACCAAGCAAACACTCGTCCAGGGGCCTCAAAGGTCCTTTAACGTGGTCCGTCACACCACTCCATTCTTTTCTCTTATCAATCGATTTTCCCAATTGTTCCGGAGTCTTCGAGTAGAGTATTTTTCAGGTCGATCGAGCGACGGTTCGAGTACTCCTTAAGAACAAATTTCGCAACGGACTTTTACCACAAAGCGGGTGCCATTAGTGAATTTATTTTCGAATCTTTGCCATACATACTCTATCACTTATACTGTTACTTATTTAGTTGTGTTATTTTGTTTTATTTGTTACATATTAGCCCCTAATTGGGCTTCCTTCCGATATAATTTTCGTTCTCTTATTCTTTTCTTCGAGATACACTTCCTCGCTTTGGGCGGAGTCACTTAGGCCATTGCATGCTCCCCACTGGTGAGATCATCCGTTTTCAGAAAGCGGGACCATTCAATGAGAACAGTGTTTTGAGAAACTCCGCCCACGCGACTAGCATGAAGTACGACTTTGGATTTACGAAGCGATTTAATCAGTAGCCATTCTGGAACACAATGGGCGAGACTAGGTCAAACTCACGCTCTGCTTACCTGCACTCGGGGCACGTCCTAACTTCGGGAAAAATGTTTGTCAAATCTCCTACTTTACCTACCATATCCTCGAGTTATTCCGAAATTATTCCAATTTTTCCACCTTTTTTGCGGACTTCTACCCCAAGAAACCTCCAAGCAGGAGGAGGGCCAACGGACCCCTTCTACACCGTGTTGTGCCCGCACTCTAATACTGAAGAGGACGAAAAGTGGATGGCGGATTGCTACTGGGCGAAAACCGTCTCGTTGAAAAGGCGCAGACTTGCAGACAAAGACATGGCCTGGTCTCGTAGATGATAGCCCCTTTCCCCTCTTGTCCCCCCCCAAACTACCTCAACACACCCATTCTTACACGATATTATAAATGTGTTTATCCTCAAAGCATCACTTTATATAATTCAGATTCGCTCAATCAACCAGTACTAAAGGCGAAGAAGAACCGTGCTAGCAATCGATAATCTGTTTTGAAATATGTGTCATTATTTCGCTTTTCGAGCTTAAATTCTGTGAATCATTAGGAATATTGCAATCAGAATCACTAGCCTAGGTATCACTCGTGAGTGATAACTACTCTGTACGTGTATTGAATACAGGTCAATGCGATTTCTCGTTAAGCATATTTTTATCACAAGTTGCCAGAATCGCTGTACGAATTGTTCACAAGTTGCCAGAATCGCTGTACGAATTGTTTTTTTTTGCTATTATATTTAATTAGTGAAGTCGATCACTTGAGGTACTTTCCACGGGAGACGGGCAAGAGAATCGTAATTTGCCGCTCCGCCGCGCGCGGCGATGGGCGCGGCGTTTTCTTAACTCGTATTAACCTGTCGATTGGAGCACCGACTTCATGTAGACCCCGTCATCGTAGACATTCATGACTATTTTCGGTTCTAAATGCCTGTTGTCGCCATCTACGACCTGAAATCATCGTCATGTGTGAGCGCGACGTCGCACGCGACGCCCATCGCGGCGCGGCAAATTACGATTCTCTTGTCACATACCCGGCGGGCCACACATGTGAGGAGCCGTTGACTGTTTCCACCCACGCAACTAGTGTGGGCTGTGCCTTTAAGTGCACCAACACATCATTAGGAACTCTTCTCGAATCTGCTTTCTTCTACGATCTGATGTTCCTTATGCGTGCTTTTGTATGCTCCACAATGCAGAAAGTTCCTAATAATTCATACCTATAAATGAACATAAAAATATAAAATCTGTTTGTTTCTTCCTTTAGATACAATCACCCATGTGGTGAAGTGCGGCACCCTACGCATTGCAAGATTGGACTTAGCATAGACTAATTTTTCACTGTAATTTTTTATTTTTCATACATATCACATTCCCTGTAAATATTCATCTGTGATCATCTGACAACGTCATTGTTGTTGTTGATAAGCTGAAGGTAGAATGAATGGAGCGTTCATCATGAAGTTTTGCGTGTGCGGCGGTTGAGCGCACAGGTACGGAGGGCAGTCAAGTAGTGATTGCACGTACGGGAACGTCTGATGTTGGATTAAGGACCGATCGGCTGAAATACAACGATGTCAAAAACGTCATGGTCTCAAATTTTGACGCTACTGAAGTTTAAAGTTTTAAGACACAGTTTGCTATTGCTAATTGTACATGTTTATCCCTGAGGCGGAGTGGGCGTAGTATTCGAACCTGACATAGGGTGGGTTACTCGTGGGATATTTCAGTTCGAGACAACTGTAATCCTCAGCGTTGGACAGAGGTAGGACCACAGTTGTGTTGAAAATACCTCATCAAAAGCAGGGCTACAGTCACGTTTAGTTGAAGGCAGTTGGCACGATAAATCCCTAAAGACGAGTAGGATTGATACGCCTGGCAGGGCGGATTCCGCGACCCTGAGCAGGCGCTGCATAGCGATTTTTCCTAGGAAGGTACCCTTATAAGGGTCCTATCAAGCTACAACATACCGACCCGAACGCCCACCACGCCCGCCGCCACAAAT